AATATAGTATAATATAATATAACTCAAGGCAGCGAACATACCTAATACACCTTCCTCCTCCTACTTTCCCCAAACAATAACCCTGTGAGGTGAGTTGGGAGAGAGAGTGACTGGCCCAGTCACCCAGCCAGCTTTCATGCCTAAGGCGGGTGACTTTTCTATCAGCAGCAGTAGTAGCAAGAGGTTTTGAGCCCAGTTCATTCAGTAATGATTTTCTTAAGGTAGATATTCATTTTTACAGAAGATTCATTTGATTAAAAGGAGTTTTCTTTAAGTGTTTTGTTTGTTTGCTATAGAGTGCATTCTGAATTGCTCTTTCCTTTGTTCTCTAACACATGAGTTAATGGATAATGGAGGCTGAGAATTCAAATTGGGTTTTGAGTTCTTAAATGCACCTTCACTCTTGCCTTAGAAGCTCCTGATCCCACCCATACAGAAGACCTTGCCTTCCCTTCGATTCTATCTTCATATAAAAGCTGTTATAGATGCATTTTGGCCCTTACTGTTGTATAGAGCTGTCCACTTTATCCTCGTTCAGGCTGTATTCCATGTTTACCTCTGGCTGAGAGTAGATCATCTCATCTAAATTCACAGGATCCTTAGTGAAGGAAGAAAGGAAAGAAGAAAAATATTTCAGATGAATTCTGCATTCAGTTATGGAGGAGAATGCTAATGCTATTCTCCATGATTTATTACTCTGTCTTTCCCAACTTCTAAAGAGATAATTCTGCAGCTTTTTTATTTCTGATGTGACTGGAACCAGTGGAGAGCAAATGCAGATGCTCAAGGACTTTTTTTTAAGAGGAGCAGCAGCAATATAATCTCCCACTGAATTAAAGTACTTCACATACACTCCTTTCATTCCAGCAAATGAATAATAAGTCTTTCAAGTTTTATTATTATTTATAAGAAAATAACATTAAAAGAAAATTATTTATTTTCTGACCTTTTCTATTAGAAGCAATTCCTATAAGGAAATTCCTAACATTTTCAGTAGTACACTTCATTTCTCTGCAACATACTTTGGATTTGCTGAAGATGCTGTATTAAAACTTAAAAATCACCTATAAAGCTAAAAATAAATATCATACTATTCAATTAAACTTACTTGCTGATAATTATGTATAGGATTGAGAATCATTCTGGCCATAATAAAGGAAACCATGAAGTATCTATGTGCATAATTTCTAGAAGGTAGCACAGCAGTAGGGAGGATCAGACAAAATGGACACACTTTTTGAGGGTGAAGGAGGAGAGTGCAAAAGCTGGCTTGAAACTCAACATTAAAAAAACTAAGATCATGGCATCTGGACCCATCAATTCCTGCGGATCTTTGTCGGCAAGGTGACATCTCTGCTTTTTAATGCGGATCTTTGTCGGCAAGGTGACATCTCTGCTTTTTAATGCGGATCTTTGTCGGCAAGGTGACATCTCTGCTTTTTAATGCGGATCTTTGTCGGCAAGGTGACATCTCTGCTTTTTAATGCGGATCTTTGTCGGCAAGGTGACATCTCTGCTTTTTAATGCGGATCTTTGTCGGCAAGGTGACATCTCTGCTTTTTAAAGCACTGAGCATGAAACTGAGCAAACTCAGGGAGGCAGTGAAGGACAGGAAGGCCTGGCGCAATATGGCTCATGGGGTCACGAAGAGCTGGACACGACTTAACGACTGAACAACAACAACACAACTTTATTGATTACAGCTACAAAAGGTAGGTAGCTGTAATCTAGGTAAGCCTAGATATGTACTTCAGCTAAACTTCTTGCTAGACAACAACCTACCAGTCCACTAGAACCAGACAGTTGTGTGTTCCAACTCAATATAAGTGGATCACACATGCTTTCCACTTGAGGATAGGACCAGCCCAGCAAACCCCAAGCTAGGCTGGAGCTTTGAGATCCCACATCCAAGCCTAGTGTAGATGACACAGGGAATGGCCTTGAAGGACAAGCTGCTACCTGGGCACCAGTTAGGTCAGTGTTTCTCATCCTTGGCAACTTTTAAGCTGTGTGGGCTTCAATTCTCAGAATTCCTCAGCATGGGAGTTGAAGTCCACTCAGCTTAAAGTTGCCAAGGTTGAGAACTACTGGGTAGATAAAAGAGGCTTGAGTCTGGGTCAGGAAAGTAATTGAGAAAATGAATCAGACAAGCCCCACCCTAGTTCCCAGGGAGATAAAAGGAGAGAGGAGGAAGCACATTCAGACTTGCAAGATTCTGTTACTGTAGCTGTTACAATAAAATTAGTACTGACCTACATGGCATTCATTTCTTAGTCTGGTCTACTTTGTAGGGCTGACACCCAGTATGGGGACACACATATCCCAGATTTCAGGGGGTATAATGCATGTTTCCCAAGTCACAGACCTGGCCTGATACACCAAACACCAATTAAAAATTGTGACAAATATGAATGGTTTGTACAGAAATAAATATCCATTAAGACATATGCAAGAAAAGTAAGGAATGTAAGTTATGCCAGGCATTAACAACCACCAAAGGAACAGGGGGAAAAGGAAAGGTGAATTGTCTAAGAGGATCCATGGGGAGATCCTGCATTTAAAGGCCAAGAAAGGACTGGAATGGTGATTCTGATTTTCCAGTCCCCCAACCCCTAGTTTTATCCATCTAGGAATTCCAGGTTCCATTGCTTCTTAGGACCCCAAACAATTACTTCTGTATTGCTGAACAGCCTGGGCATCATTTGTCTCCCACTGAGTTCTCTGTACATCACTGTAGTCAGTACAATGGAGCTCTCCTGCTGCTGAGTGGGGGAACAGGACATGCCTCATCAATCCTTGTAATACCACATCATTTCCTTCTGACCTGAATGTTTACTGTTTTCTCATGCTCCAGCTACAAAGGTATAACTGCTAGAGATGTGCATGCTTCTAAACAGATTTGGAAGAGGTGTTTTGGAATCTGTGGGATCATTCTGAAGTCAGCTTATGCTCCTGTATATTCTAAACCATTTTCCAATCATGCAGTGCCCTATCATGTGCTTGTACTTCTAATGCAACATGTGACTTTCCAGAAACAGGCCCCCTCAGTAGCAGCCCTTCAGCTCTGGTATGCTTTCCCCATTACAGGGAAGGCACTCTTGATCTCCACATTACTATCCTTCTAGTGCCAGCCAAAGCGGTTTTCCTAGGCTTGTTAAAGAAGTAATTTATTATTTCAATCTTTGGGCTGCAACTGAGTTTTAAAAATAATTTTACAGTATGTATACATTTTCACTGCAGTTTTTAGTTCAACATCTAGGCTTTAATTTGAAAACAGCCCTGCAGTTTTTTAAAAAATAAGTAAGTAAATACCTAAAGGACACTCTGTACACATGATGAATCAACTATAGCCCATGAAAGCTTATGCAGAAATAAATGTGTTAATCTTTAAACTTTTAAGAGCTCTTAAAGAGATATTGGTATGGATGCCGGGCTTACTAAGATTGGAGTTTTTTTATATGATTTTTTTTTTAAAAAATGTTAGCCATTAAGAGACTTCAGAAGTCAGCAGTATAGAAGTTACATTATTAAAGTATCACAAGACTTGTTGCTTTTTTGTATCAATACTGCAAAGATGAAAGATGAGAAAAGCTGTCATCATCACTAACTAGATCACTGAATCAATCCTTATACAGACACACAGCAGAAAAATTAACCTGCAAGGGAAATCTATTCTGAGTTTGCTTCTAATCAAAAGACATACACAAAACAAACAATGACTCATATACAGTAGAAACACAGGGAATGAGGCTTTATGAAAGCAGATGTTGTGTCCTATTATATTCAGTGACCAAATAAATCTTGGATATGATCAGCAAACCACCTCCAGTATTAATTCAGAAAAAAATGTTGGCATCAGCAGTGAGCAAATAGTACCTGCGCACAGTGAGGAACCTTGATGGTGTCTTCCTCCATTTGTCTGTCTCTGAAAAGAGAGGAAGGAATACAGCACAGGGTTTTCCATTTCTTCCATACACTTTTGTGAATTGTTTCAGTAGAAATATACACCTGGTAGCAGGAATAAAGTCAAAACTGATAGAACGTGTACAGAGGATGGAAATACAAATGATGGTGCAAAGAGAAATGGGAATTCTCTCAAGGGGTCAAGGGAAAGAGAGCAATCACACTGCATCCATAATAAAGGTTTTCCAAAAACAGAACTGCCTTTGAGCATTTATTTCAAGCATTTGTTATTGTATGCCACAATAGTCACTTTGTGTGAGATGGGCAGCTATATAAATTTGATATATAAATAAAGTGTTAGAAACAGGGTACAACTAACATGTTCTTCCCCCTGCCATAACTCCACATGCTTGTCCCCGCTTTTTTGTACAGAATTACTGGGGAATGCAACTGAGCTGTTCTGTATTTACCAAATTATCAGGTTTTGATGCTTTTGTGGAGCTAATTAATGGATACTGATGGCAGTAGGTGTTTTAATGATGTAAGCACTTGTCCCCTGTAGAAGGGGAGATGGGGGGAAAAAAGCAAGCATTTCCACAGGTAATGTGGAACGGTTTCACTCAGTCCTGCAAAATATTCAGTCTGTTTCTGTTCATTTATACCTTAGCCTTTCTTCGATGATGGAACTCAAAAGAGGTGTGCATTTATCTTTCACATTGTTTGTCAGGAGTACAGAACACATATTTTATGGGCACAAAGACAAAATCGCGAGAATAGAGATATTTTCACTTCACTACTGTTTTCACTCCTCATTTCCTCCAAAGCAGTTTGAAAATGACCTTTTATTGTCTTCCCTTCTACCAACTCAAAATCCTGAGAACAAGAATCAAAAATCACTGTCCTGTCCTGAGTTGTTAAAAATCCTGCAGCAACAGCAAGGAAAACAACATTCTCATCTCTTTGAAGTTTTGCACATAGTTGATCCCCTGCCAAAGTGGAGTTGGAAACTGACAGCATCTTGTCAATTTTGTCCCTATTCTTTTAGGCAAAAGTCAGAGCTGCAAGACTGTCAAACCAGAGTTCCTCTTACAGGGCCTGCCAGAGTAGCTGAGACTCAAGAGTCAGGGGAGGGGTGAGACAATGAGCCACCTCTAAGCTCCATAGAGCTCCTGTATTTCCAGTTGAACCAGCTTCAAAACAGTTCCTTTTGCCCTACAGCTGTACTAGAATTTTGCTGACAATGGCATGGGATGGTGAGGGACAAAGCCAATCCAGGAGCAGCAGGAAAAAAAACAAAAACCAAAATAACCCATACAACCTTCACATTGAAATGTCTTAAAATGGCATGAAACAAAAACCAACAGTGAATAAAATATTGTGGAGATATCAAGTTTGAAAGGCCTTCCCCGCAAGGGCATCACATAGGCAGCAAGCTGACTTGTAGCAATGTGTGTGCCTAAGTGAGTAGATCTTAGAAAGAGACTCAGATTATCACTTTATGGTCTAGACCAGTGCTTTTCAATCTCAGCAACTTTAAGATGTGTGGACTCTAACTCCCAGAATTCCCCAGCATGGAATCCACACTTCTTAAAGTTGCTGAGGTTGAGAAACACTGGTCTGGACTAGCCTTCCCCAGCCTTCTCACTGCGGAGGAACCCTTGAAATAATTTCAGGTCTCAGGGAACCCCTACATAAACATCCCAAAAAAATACAAAAAGTACATTTCTAACCTACACAATCCATGTTTTTACAACATTTACAAAAACAGCACCAAAGCAGCAAGCCAGCAGCTGAGTTGTGTCATATAAAAATTCCTACCACTGCAAACACTAGCACTGTGTGTCACGCAAAGTTCAGAACAAGATTTTTTTTAAAAAAAAAATCATGACCTCTTGTGGAACCCCAGCTGAGAAAAACTGGTGTAAATACACAAAGATGAGAGGAAAACTCCCTTCATGCAGTTTGGCTCCAAAGTACGTGGGGATCAGGATTAAATCAGCAGATTTTAATTTAATTTGGAGATCTTGCACAAAAGCAGACCCGAGGGTGCTGCTAGGCCTAGGCAACAAGGATCAGGGCTCTGTAATCCAGTTCTCCCAGCCCATTGAAATGCAAAGAAGAAAAGAAAATCTCTTAACAGGAACCAAGTAAAAAACAAGGGTGGAAGATGCCTGAAAGACCATTGCCCTCAAAACTGATGGTCTCCTGAACAGAGGGCAAAGATACAGGCATCATATAGCCTGAGTGGTCAGTACACTGTGTAGCTGCTCCATTTGGGACCAACTGATACATGCAGACCATCTTCCAAGGCAGCCACCCATACAATCATTAGGACTCACCTGTCTTCACTGTGCAGTTGGGATATTCTATCCTTCATGACATCCAGACACCTTTCAGTCTTTTGAAGCTGATGGAAGGTTTGTTGGAGCTGGTTTTCAAGGCTGCCCTTGATTTCTTTCAGCTGCTGGGTTTGGCTATTGGCCACCACCTGCTTTGCCTTGAGGCTGAGCAACTGAGTTTCAAGCTGAGAAGTAAGAAAAATTTAGTCCAGCAGTACAA